ACTTATTCCACAGTCTTCTAAACTTCACAAAACTGTTACTTTTTAACATCACTATAAAGAAACTTTCTTTTGAGACTAGACATCAACTTCATTTGTTTTTTTTTTTCTCCCTGTATTGCAGCAAAAATAATAGGCAGTCACTTCATGAGTCATTTGTTTATCTCAGTGCCTTTGAAGCATGGATGTGATCAAGGATATTAACATGTTTTCTGAAGCAGAAAAACATTAAATAACCAAAGACCTTTAGCAACCTCTAGCAATATCAAATAAGATGATACAATATCACTCATTTAACTTGATCTTTTCACTTGGGTTTCCAGGAGATAGCACCTAAATTCTGCTAAAATCACAGACTTATTCTAGATCCGTACTACTTCAAGGGCTGAAGTTGATTCACATGCTATAGTAGGGCTCTGCTTCCACTCTCACACCCAGAAAGAGAGGAGAGTTGTCAGACATACCTGGCTGCCACTCATATATTGTCAGATCTTCAAAGACAAAAGTGCCCAAGACAAAGACTACTTCAGCAAACCTGCCTACTTCATTTGTGTCTAAATGGGAAAGACAAACCTTTGAAAATTTCATCACACAACTGTCAATTCATGGTCATGAATTTTTTGTTAATTTTTTATGTTGTCAATTTGCCAGGCAGTTGAGAACTCTGAACACCAGAATTTAGTGGTAACAAAACTGTTGTAGTCCTGCAGACTGCTAAATTATTATACCAGGAAGGTCCAAAACAATAACACCATGTAATCAGGATTCTGAAGCAGAAGTCCAAATAAGCCATGATTTATTGTGTAATCAGACACTGTTTTACCTCATAAGGTCCCCAAACTCTCTACTACTATAGATCACTGACATTGTAGTTAAGCGGTCTGCAGCTACCAGAGGCTAAAAGGACTTAATAACCTTGCAATTTAAGTCCGCTAAAGAATGAGCACATTGCACCTGGCTTGACTCGCAAAACTGGCTTCTTTATACAAGCCAGGAAAAGGACTTGCTAACTCAGAGCCAGCTTTACCAATAGTTCAGAGCTCCTCTGTATCTACTGCTGTACTGGGTCTGGCTGGGATGGCTTTAACACAAGTAACTAAGCAGTCTGCCGTGTCCAAGTGCTCAGAAAGTGCCAACTGCAAGACTCTCCTCTCTTGATCTGATGTCATTTTATATATATCCTGTATGAAACTCCCTATGTAAGACCAAGTTAAAGTCTACTCTCTGGGGTAACAGCAGTTGACAAATTCTAGCCCCCAATACAATGGATGTTAAGCTTTGCTTCTGGAAGGCAAAATCCACATTGTCTGTCATCAGCACTGGTGGTCTAGCAGTTTAAGTGGGGAATTTCACTTTTTCTTGGGACTCCTGCACACATTTTTTTTTCTAAGTTAGGCACCCATCTCAGGGTGCCTGCAGACAGGAGGCAGAAATGCAAAATGTAAATGCGTTTAACCAGCTCTCTGCAAGATCATCTCTGTTCTTAAATCTACACAAGGTCTTATATCAGTCTTTACCCAGGAGCCTTAGACAACCTTTTCACTATTGGAAAACCTCTGGCAGATCCTGAACCTGTGGTGATGTGCTCATAGGCAGAAATGATGAGGGATGTACATAACTCTTTATTCTGCAGAATTTTCTAAACATCTCATGCTTAGCTAGATCAGAGTTACTCCTGTCTGTCAGAGAGGTGACAAAGGCATATGTAACTAAGGCCAGGGCAGTGTGCTGAGTTGAAGTCTCCAGATTCTTTTCAAAGCACCATGTTAAAGAGCAGCTGAACCATCGCTGATAGAAGCAAACTTCAGCTGGAGATGTCAAATACTTAATATAACCCAGTTCCAGCTGAACTATGTGACATACTCACAGATGTGGGTATCATTAACTTACTATCAATTTAGCAGTCGTTTTCAGTTCCCCATTACAGACTGCATTGACCAATGCTATGTACCTTCAAGTAAAGAAAACTGCTACATGCCTCCATTCTTCCTATGCATGTATGTGTTTATGCAACTACTTTGCTCAGTACCTGGCCCCGTACAGAACGGAATGTGATTCTAATGAAGATGGAGTTACTGGTTTTCAATAAAAGCACAAGTAGTTGTAAAAGGTCAGTAAGATTTACTCTGGTGTTGCCTTAGAGATCATTTGTTATTCAAATGACAAAGGTACTATGTTTATAAAGTACAGTGTGATCAATGGCACTACCTGTTTATCAGGCAATTCTTGGCATTTCCGTAATTTCTCCATGCAGTAAGACTTGAACTTCACTTACTCAACATGAGCAGCGGAGGCTCAGAAATAATCACAGATTATTGCTGAGACCTTCCAGAAAGTATTTCAAAAACAGTCTATCAGCTTCTTGTTCTTGATGAGCCATTTCAAATGTCAAAACGTTGGGTCACATTTTTCAATAATAACTACAAAAATATAATATTATAAAATTTTAACTCTGCATCTTCCATGACAGCCTCTGAATCAGAATCATGGAAATACACGTCTAAAAAGGACTTCTAAGAATACTTTTTTACTTTTTGAGGTTGCTTTACCTTTTCTATAGTTTCTAGATTTATAAGCATTTTCTAGGTGACCTATAGATCATCACAGAGCAAATTTAACAAAAGGATTGCTTTCATTAATGACCTTTTACTCATCCCTTTGAAGTCATTCCAAACCCTGCATTGTCTTGTACCACAAGCTGAAAATCACTGATGCATTACAGCTATCTCTACATTCAAGGATTTGAAGACCATCACCAGCCATTCCAGGAGTGCATTCTAGAATTCCATCATATCATTTAGGTGCCAATGTAGAACATTTCAAATCTGATAGCAGCTATAGACAAGGAAAGAATGAAATCTGGAGGAGAAAACTGTTTATTAAAGTCATCAGTGGTTTGTAGAAAGAATCCTGTGAAAGTGCTCATTTAACAGGACGTTACATCATTGTTTATGAGCCAAGAAAAGTGTTCATATCACAAACAGTCACACCAAAGCTTCACTGGAGTCCAATCAAACACAACTTTTCTATTTACCATTCTCTTGACTTAAATTTGCATGCCAGGCCCACTTGGCTTGGTGAATTCTACTTGCTTCCTAAAAAAAACCCCAACTATTAACGACGCTTTTGACTTCTCTTGTCACCATCTGAGACTTTCAAAGCACGTCACAAGCATCAAAAGTCACTGTATTATATCACTATCGCTTATTTGTGGACAGGGAACACAAAACTCAGGTATTTAAGGGTCTACCTAATTTCAGTTACCTTCTATGAAAAGTCTGACTCTGAGTTTAACTACAGTTGGATTTCTGCCTTAATGCACCACTAAGAGTCACAGAGCAATTCAATGGGAGAGACAGAAATAGAATACAGCTGTCCCAATTCCCAGATTCCATTCTAACCAAATGACCATGTGGCCTCCCAGCTTGGTGCTTACAAAAATACACCAGCTGCTGTAGTTTGCATCTGCAAACTATTCTCTAACTGCTTTTAAATGTACCTTCGTTCATATTCAGGCCCAGCCGAAAAGGCCCGGGGGGAAGGGAGTGACAGAAGAGTTGAGAAGCATATAGACTTTGTGCCTCACGGTTTTCTCAGCAGAAGCAGGTATCAAATGACTCAAGGAATTTTTACTCCAGTGCTACATGTTCATTCACTCAGCTTCCCTTGGGACGCAGAGAGTGTGCCAGCTGGGCAGATGTGAAGAGGAAGCCACAAGAAGAACACAGAAGCCATTTCTAAAAGCCAGTACTACTCCTGGTCTCAGCATATACCTCACCGGTCACATACGTACCTTTATTGTCCCATAAAGCATGACGTCCAATATTTGGCCTATAGAACAGCCTTAATTATAATCTCTGCCCCCAGATGGCAGCTGAATGCCCACTGATTCTCACTTCATGCTGTTTGCTTGTAAACAAACCCATTAAGCACCAGTGGAGAAGTCTATTGTTATTACAATGACTATGAAAGTTATAAAGATGCAAATTACATAAAGGTCTTTGTTGTTATGTAGCTAGCAGTTCAATATGAAAATCATCTTACTTGGACAACTGATTGTGGGGATCTTCTTCCCCTCTCCCCCCCAAGTCTCTCTGTTGTGCATCAAGCTTCATCTAAATGACTATGAGCGATGGGCAGGGGAACAGTTCTAAACCGAGTACTCTATGAACTTTCCTCATATTAACCAGGTAATTCACTCAACCCTCCAAAGAAGGGACTTGTTGACCTATTGTGCTCTACGCAATGTGCACATCTCAGCACTGTATTAGATCTCTAGTGGCTTCTGTGGTTAGCCAAGTACAAGCTGTAGAGTTTCCCAGTTGATTTCTAGTCACTAATCCATACCTTTTATACAGTGAAGGCCTGGATTTTAAGTAACAGCTTCCAGTTTCACTGGTGCCATTCGTGACGGGTGCAAGTGACAGAAATAAAAAGCTCCTAACTATTCTCTTTGCCACATGCTTTGCAGACACAGTGGGACCAATGGACAGTACCAGAAACTGTAAACTGTATCACTACCATTTGCTAAGACCTTCCCATAAATGGTCCATGCTGGAATCGGAGAGCAAAAACTCCAGTTGTCTTCATCCTGCTGGTAATGCCAAGTGACCAGCTTTCTTATAAGCCTGTCCTTACAAGGGGGAAGAAATCCTTGCCAGGATAAAATGACTGTCTCCTTTCTTCCAAGTCCTTTTGAAACACTGCAGCAAAGCTTACAAATCCACTGTAACCTAGCCCTGATTAGCTTGATGATGATCTACAGCTACCAAAACTCTCGAAATATCATATTTATGCCCAACACAACTGACACGATTACTCCATCCTCTCACTTGCTCAATCATTTCACACCCCTACACATGTATGTACATATGTATGGTAGGTATAGGTGTATGTATATACACAAGTGTAGGTGCATATGTAGGTGTATGTATATACACCTACAATTCATTCTAACTCTCTTGGGATGGACAGTTTCAATTTTACTTCTGTATAGTACTTACCGTAATGGGATTCTGATCTTCACTGTTGCTGTGGTACAGAACTCTTAAAAACCAGTAGCCTAAAAAGATAAAAAGACTAATATTACTGCAGGAAGAATAACACATAGTGAGCAAATTTAAGCCCTCACAAAATGAGCAGACAAAATAACTTAGTAACTACTAAGAACAATAAAGCCACTAGAAAAAAGTCAGGAACAGTTCATTAGTAAAAAACACACACATAATGCATATGCATACTCACAGGCACACAGAAACAATAGAGGGGAAGGGAGCAACACTTGAACTAACTGTTAACCTATTTCAAGCAGATCAGCTGATATGACTGGTACCTGAAATTAACTTTGTTAGTAACACCAGATCCCTGTTCAAAATTCCTCTCTACATCTGATTCCAGGTTGCACCTCCATTAAGAATAGCTGCTCTTGGATGTTGTGTAGGTAGGTACAAATGCAGCTGCCTTGCTGTTGTGGTCCTGCCACTGGCCCCATTTCCCCTTCTCCTCAGACCAACATAGACAACTTGAAGGCAAATCACATTTGCACTGCATCCTTAAAGCAAGGCTTGAGGTCACTTTACCGAATAACCTATAAAAATGAAAAGCTGTCTTTTACAGCAACTGAAAGCAACAATAAGAAATAAAATTCTTTCATTTTAGAAGCTGCTATAGAAATGTCTGAATTTCAAGAGGAAGATGTTCTACAGTCAGCCACAAAGGCCAGTTCTGGAACTTTTAATTCTGCTTTTACTCCGTCTTCTTATTTGTGCTCCCACTGTGGTCTCTGATCTTTAACCATTGGGCATGCATTATGTATGTCAAGCCTTCAGGAGCTTCTGAGCCTTGTATCTTTGACATCTGAACAAGCAGGGACTGGCAGGTGGGATTTTCAAATATGCTCTGTGCTGACTGCTGCCAGTGAACTTGACAGGAGAACTAGCTGCAAGTTGAGGATTGGTGACTTTAAAATCCAAACCAGCATTTTCAAGCACTTTGTGCCAAACACTAAATCTCTTATCAACTCTTCTCTCACTCACAAATTTGCTCCCTTTCACAACCAATTATGGCTTCTCTATCATAATTAGGACGTGTTAGCAGCAAATGTAAAGGAACAGCATAGAGGAAACAAATTAGCATGTTACTCCTATGGGAAGTAGTGACCTGCTATTTACAAACCTCCAACTGACTTTGTGAGTTACTTGACAGTGTGAATCAGATTTACTTCTTAAAAGGAAGCTGCATGTCCACCATTTCTATCACACCAAATCCAATATCCCTGAGTCTCTTCTTGCTACATCACGAAACTCACCCTAGCTTAAAAACAGTACTTTGGCAAGGTATACTGAGCTGTAAATTTGCTTTGTCCAATGACTAATTCCCTGTTGGAAGTGAACAAGAATCTCTTGAGTGCTGTCATTAGCAGCTGTGAAAAAACAATAGGCTGGGCAGCTGGGTTATTTTGGTGCCTGGAGGCATAGGGTCTTGCTTGTTTCGTTAAGTGACATTATTTGGTTTGAATGATCCTGGACTGTGCCTGAAACAAGAGACAGGGCACAATGATACTCTTTCTGAAGATGGCCACTTTCTTCCCAAATCACAGGGTTCTCTTGACTAGAAAACTATAGAAATGACCCTGCATAAACACTGCGGAGATAATTACAAAATAAAGAAACGTTACAGTGAATCCATTGACATCTTTAATTCCAAACTGCCACCATCCCAGAAGGAACAAACTGTGAGTTAGACTGACTCTTAAGTATACAATTAAGCCTGTCAAGTTCTGACTCCGTAATATGCTGTTTAATATTGAAAAGTCTGTCAGTAAACCAGTATGTGGGATTAATGTCATAATGCTTTGGTTTTGCTTCCTCATGAAACTATAGAACAATTTAGCTGATATGAGTAACATGTTATTTATACTCCTTTTGGCAAGAGTTTTAATGCTATGTGGGATACTCCCCCTTCCCTCTAATATAATAGCCTTCCCTGGCCTTCATGGATTTAAATTGGTAAGGGGAGCTGTGTGTGTTCCATGTGGAATTTACTCAGTAATTCTATTAAGAGCTTCCCTGCACAGGAATTAATGTTCTCATCTCATTCAATACTCGTCCTATTCATTATTTAAAACAGAAGACCTAATCTCTCCCTACACTAAGTTTCCTCAAAGGATTTTCTATTAGTTTCAAGGAATTCAAAAGATTAATCTTCAACACTTCTGTGTTTGCAAAACTATAAAACTCTAGGGCTTACAGTTAGAGCAGAAGGCTTTGCCATTTCTGGAATTTTTGAGAAGGAGGGTGTCAATTGAAAGTTACAGAGCCTTCAAAAGAGGCCCTTTACTTTTGTTCGTCACCATTTTCAGGTTACACTTCAAGTGCCATTCAGCATTAGCTTCTAATGATTTCAGTAGAGCTTCTAATGATTTCACTAGATTCTCTAGGCCAATTCATTCACCTGGCTTTAACTAGCAGCTACCCCCAAAAGGCCTCAGAGCTCGTATCAGAAACAAGTATTTCCCACTACAGGTGCTTGCACTAGGCAACAGCAGAAGCACAAGCACTGCGGCTGGGGCTCAGTGCTAGAACAGAGAATGTGGTAGAGAAGTTGCCTTCATCTTCCCTCCTAGATTTTATATTCCCAACTACTGAAGATTAATGGAAAAACTGTTATCATTCCTCAGTGTTTTTGTTTTTTGATGAATTGCAACAAAGCCAACTGGGCTGTGACATGCTGTGCTGCTGACTATCGTGAAGCTCCTCTAGCTGGGTATGTCTGCCGCAAAGGGGCTCACTTATGCTAGTGCTGGCTGTGACTACAGTGGGCTGCATTTCTAAAACTTAGTTCACATGTCATTAAATCCACTGAATACTATCTAGGCCCATTTACTTATCAAATGAATTTTGAGGACTAGGTAGATACAACTTGTTTGGAACCCTGCCTCCAGGGATGATTAATATCTAATACAAGATTTGTAGGTTAGGTGTAATACCTTTTATTATAGTGACTTCTATCGCTGGGAAAAGCTGACAGTTTTGGGGGATCATAAGTCCTTTTTTAGTCCTAAGAAGAGAGACAAACTTTCAGACACAAATGCCTTTCCTCAGTTCTAAGAAAGGTCTGTATTCCTGAAAGCTTGCCTGCCTTGTAAAACTATACTATTGGTCTAATAATAGGGACCATATAAAGATCATTTGGGTACAGTGGCTGTACCCACTCTGGCATTCTGATGTTATTAAAATCAAGATGAAAAGAAGCAGGAATTGTATCTCTCTCAAAAATACAGTACGTCCTCCTGCAGGGCAAACTGTTCTGATGCAGGAGAAGCTGCATTTTAGAAAGGATCACAAAGGAAGAGAGAGAGTTGTCCACCTATTACTGATACCCGTCTCTGTCATTTTCTCCCTGATTAGTTCAATTCAAGGAACAAACTGGGAGGAGTGATATAAGTAAGCTGTGCTTTTAGATTTTCCACAGAAAACAAAAGAGCTGATTGGCCTCTCATTTCTGTTAGCAAACAAGTAATTCCTAATTTACAACACTGTTAACAAGAGGAGGTTCAGACAGAACAACTTAGATTTGCAGTCATTGCAAGAAACACAATTCAGTAAATAACCAAGAGGATAAAATTGGTTAAAGAAATGAGAAGCTAGAAACTACAGTCCCAGTGACAGTGTACACTTAATAAAAATTAATGGGATGCTTTAAGTAGCCTGTGGAGATATTTCTCTGAGCCTTGCACACAAAAGTAATGTCATGTAGGCAACCTTTTAAATGAGAAAGATGTGTGTCTTGTGATGTACTACCAAAAACCCAAGCTATTTTAATAAGGGAATGCTATGTGAATGGAAGAAGTGAATGGATTCTGGTCTCACTTCCTGACTCTGCCACTACAGCTCTGTGACCTAGGGCGAACCACTTAAACATTCAGCACCTCTCAGTGAAACTGGTAACAAATGCAATGGCAGGCCACACATTAATTTCACACAACAATATTTTCTTATCCTATAGTTCAAGAAAAGAAGAGCAGTTTCCATAACAACTTCTACATTTCAGGATTCCTAGAGGGATGACTATACTAAAGAATACCAAGGTACTTCAGTTACCCAGGGAATTCCTAGCCCCTACCTGCTGGAATGAGGGATTTGCATGCATTTTTATGCCATGTAGAACACCTGTACCAGTAACCAGGAACTCATTACAATGTCTAGGAGCCAATTTGGAGCTACTACTCCTGTTCTGACCAGGTGCTGGTGGTCCAGAAGTCTGCCCAGACAAAAAAAACCAAAACCCACAACTTCTTTGGAGATGCCCTATTCCTCGTTTGTGAATCTGAAATCACGTTGCTGCTGTAGCCAGGCATGCAGGCCCAAGACACTCGTACTTATTTCAGTACTGTCTTTGTAATATTTCTGTTTCTAAGCACACTTATTATGAAAACTGCATTACAGTCTTAGAACATAGATGTTCATTGCTGGGCGGTTCCTACTTTCAGAGGAACAGAAAGGACCACTAGCTAAATCTGATCTAATCCATTTTCACCCAGGTACTTTAAATCAGATAAAAAAAAATTGTTAGACTAAAGTATTTCTGTTCCCAGAGCTGACTGCTACATGCTGGGGAAACATGGATCTCAGTACTCCTATGAAGACAAAGAATTTGTTGCTGAGATGCCCTGATGATCCTGGCCCACAGAGCAGAATCTCTGTCCACTGCCACCAAGATTCTTGCATTCTCAGAGGAAAACACTTTCCTCACCCTAGATATTTTTCCTCAAATGTCTTAGTAAAACATTTGTCCTGCCAAAAGAAAATGAATTTCATTTCTAAATCTCCAAGCAACACCAAGGCTACATATGGAAAATTACATCAATGTTTAATTATCATCATAGCTAGGAATCTGAATTCAATTAAATTTATTAAACCTCAGCTTCCAGGTAATTCTTACGCTTTTACCAGCACAAAGACAGAAAACACCCTGTTGTGATCTTCTCAATGTGCAAGGACATAAATGCTGTAATCAAGTCACCTCATGCCTCTCTGATTAAATGTGATTTCTAAATTGAAC